TTATATCGGTTTAAACGACCATAAAGAACAACGTTTTACTGTCCAAAAGAACAACTCACTGCGTTGACTCAAACTAAGGCAGAGCAAGAGGGGGCTGAATATTTTATAGCAAGTTCAAATGAATTTTTTACAAAAAGATATGACCAAAAACATCAGTAATGCTGCAGTTTTTACTAGCCTCCCTCTGCTGATTTTAACAGTTTGTCCAGTATGTGAACATAAGTGTTAAATATATTGTCCTTACTTCTGATTGCAGATACTAGATCACTCGCTAAAGTGTCAAACTTCTAGCAGTTACTTTCAATAATTTGGAATATCTTATCAATCTTCTCTAGTTTCATTTAGTCTACTGTATTAAATAAGCCCTATTATGCTGTTGGGGTTTACAACATGTAGTGTGTTCTATAGGTTTTAGTGCATGTAAATGGTCTGCAAAGGCTAAAATCACAAAGTTTCTCTCCCACACACTCCCCCGAAACGCCTCAATTGGACTCCTTTATTTACTTCCCGATCATAGCAACATCACCACGTGAATAATAAAAATGTAAAAATACATTAAAGCATGTAAACATGACACAGTAGAGGAACTAAATACAAATGTGTAGCTGGACATAAGCACATGTCCTCTCTAACACTTTCAATCAATATTCCCAATTAGGCTACTTTCGCCTAATATATGAATATACACCATGGACATAGCTGTGTATAGTTGTATGTGGCGTTACAGTAAGTCTTCACTCACTACAGGCAGGAACATGATAATAGTACTTTATTTCTCGAGAAATATGTTCTCCTAAAAAAAAATCAGTTCCCATATATTTTATTTAGAGACATCTTCTAAAACAAGGTCTATAACTATTTCACATGATCAAACACTGCTTCAAACAACAGCAGATGGGCTGGATAGGAAAAATGCTGCGAGCAGCAGACCGGCTTCCGGGTCGGCGATACAGCGAGAACAAGCGAAACTCATCCTGAGCTCACACAAACACTCACAGCCGAAGTAAAAACAATAAGTGTGGCTTGATATTGAGTAAGAAAAAGGTTTATAACGCTGTGAGAATGGGCCTGCGGAGAGCATTTCTCCGCGATCCCAACGTAGTAGCCCGAAAAACGTTTACCCATTTAAACAGTCGTGGTAGATACCTTGTTTGTTTTAAACATCATAAATACACAAACAACAATGAATACTTACAGGTTGTGTACCCGAATCTCCCGCTGGTCCAAACAAAGTAGGAACAGCATCGTTCTTCAGTGCCCTACGCTGTGCATATCCGGCATGAATCGCTGAAAGGTTTGGGAAGCTTTGTTTCGTGAAATGCTGGCAGAGGGTGTGGCCTCTGGGTATCCCCACGTCAGAGTACCCAGGAAGTAAACAATGGAAAATGAGAAATCTCCAACGAGGCGTTGTGGGGAGGTGTGTTAGAGTTTTACTCGCTACAGGGTGTACTTTGAGGGTTTTTGACTCTGCAGACCGTTTACATGCATAAAAACCTTCATAACACACAAGGGGACGGGTAATAACCGGAAAAGCATGACATGGGACCTTTAACTAGCCTCTCGGGGCAAAAAAAAGAAACAAATAATATAAAGGCCATACACATTTTTGAACTTGTACATTTAAAAAAAAGAAAAAGCCTCCTCTTCGGCAGCAACTCTGTGTTCGTAGTGAGGGATGAGCTGAGATTTTGGACCCATTCTTAAACCATTTCTGAAACCACGATAGACAGGATCTAACAGAAGTCAAATCTAATCACAAGCTGTGAGCTGAAGAATAACACACTCTGTTTTCAGTTCTCTACTCAGCCTGGATTTTTGATTTATCGACATCTGTTGTAGTGTACGAGGTAAACATTTCAGCCATTTCAGAGCAGTCATCTTAGGGGACACATGGGACCTTGGCCTTTTGTGAGATGAAACCTGAATTCTCAGATAAAGCTGAGGATGTAACATGAGCCAAAGCTGTAGAAAATACTTCCTGGTTCAGCTGGAAATGGCTAAACCAGGTGAAAATGTTTTTTTGTGACACAAAAAGTGTCCTCAGTGGCTATGTTCAGAAGTGAAAGCTATAGAACAGGAAACCCAAACATAAACCAGTTTATTACACGGCTTAGATTCATTCTCAATTCTGATTGGTCCATTTGGACAATACAGAGTTCTAGTATTGTTGCTAAGGAGAACAGACTGTTGCTAAGGAAGATCAAGGGACTATGTGCAGTCATATCAATCCACAGAAAGAAATCCGGTCAATTTAACGTCAGCTGTGGACAACAAACATTAGTTTTCATCCATCAGAAATCAAAATGGAGTACTTTGGGAATATATTTGTATGATATTTGAGGAGAGCAGGAAACTTTGGATTCATGATGGCTAAACTGTTCCCACTAAAGAAATAAAAATGAGCACAAGAGAAGGAACAAGGTTAAAAGACAGAGAGCTGGACTTCAGGGAAATAGATATATCTTAGCGGAACAATACAATTCTTGAATCAATGAAATCATATATTAAAACAGGTAAAAAGAAAAAAATGCAGTATGTCACTTTCGCATAAAAACCTTTTTTTCCATTGGTTTTCATTATGGTGACAATTTCACTAATGATGTTGTTGACAAGCGAACACTTTGCATAGTTGGCGGAGCTGACAGAATCAGAGCGAGAGGTGATGTTTCCCGAGGACAATGCTGATGATGTGCTTACAAAACAGTTTGTGCCTGCTTTATTCTCGCCCTTGCTCAGGTGCTTTGAAGTCAGCTGAACACCTGAAAACTACACGTGCACTCTGTTCTGGCCGTGCTATCCATCTGGAGGTAAAAACAAAAACCTCTAGCGTCTAAGAATAACTTCATAAAAGAGAGGAAAATTCTCCTCTGCTTGGAGATTTTATTGATGGGAAATTCTGCCTTTCATGAAGCATATTCAGTCAGTAGCCTAGACACCAACGATGAAACACGAGCACATACTGAAGTTTAAAAAAGCAGAAATAAAATCTGAGCTGGCAGAAAATGCTCCGTTTTAGTTTAATACACACAGTTAAGCTCACACACACTATTTCATGAACATATAGGTTCACTTGCTGAATTAAAAACAGAACAAATGAAGCAAAGGAAGTGAAAACCATAAAGCAGATTCAGGCAGTAGAAGATTAGATTCACACTTATAGTATTAACCTACAGAACAGAACAGCTGACAGAGAAGAGACAACATCTGATCCTTTACAACAAACACTAGATGATATGTTTAGTTTTTTGCTAACACTTTAATCCTGCTATCCCCAATTTTTAGAAATGTAACTGTAATCTAAAATGAGTCAAATGTCACCGTGTCCTGAACAAAGAAAACCACTAGAGGGCAATCACTGTGTAAAAAAAGAAGCAGCCACAGCATGTAGTGTGAGGGATAATGACAGGTTGCATGTGGTCTTTCTTTCAGCTGGTTTTGTTAAATATCTGAATTAATTTCAGTGTTGGAAAAGAGAGCAGAGGAACCTGGGTTTAGTTTGACATCATTAAGTGCAACTCAAACAGTGAGGAGGACAGAACCCCCCCCCCCCCCCACTGTCTCTGAAACTGAAGTGTTATCTTTCTCATAAGCTTTTGTAATTTTGTGTCAATATTGTGGAACGAACGTCAGCAGCCTTTTAAACTGTGCACTTTCAGCATTTTAAGGTATTAATGACAATCACACTACTGCAGACATTGTAATATAAGTAAATGTCATGTATTGTAGGATAATGTGCACTTTTTTAACTTGAAGTTTTATGCTGAAATAAACATTTTTCATCTATTGTATTTTATATTTTTTTAACACTTACTTTAATTTCTCATGTTTTTATGAATATTTTTATTTGATCTTTTACTGGACATTTTGCTTTAACTTTGTTTCTTTATGTAAAGATATTATTTATATTCCAATTTTTCATGTTAACATTTTTAATTTTTTAATTATATTTTTCTTTATATTTTATTTAATTGATTCCATAATGGAGCAAATGTTAAGAAACCCACATTCTCGGGAGTTTACCCGGGATATTAATAATCATACTCTGTTACACGGCTTAGTTGAATACTCAAATATTCTGATTGGTCAATTTGGACATTCCAGAAGTCTGCTATTTTTTGCTAACAGACCGTTGCTAAGGAGAACTGACCGTTGCTAAGGAGAGCAGACTGTTGCATTAACGAATAAGGGACTGGCAGTGTTTTTAAAACTGGTTCATGGTAAATAATGTGGATAGACGTGGACAGTTAGAGAAATTAGATACAGTTCAAACTAAAATACATTTAACAACTAATTAACAATCCACAAATCAGAAAAAGAGAAAAAAAAAAAGATTAAGATGATACATCAGTAACACTCACCGATCATTAACTGTCAAATCTTGGGTCATTAGTAATGTTTTGTGTTCTTTAAATCACCCATTTTTCCCATCTATAGTCCCATCCTTATATCTAAAATATGAACTGATTCCTTATTCTCATGGTCAATTTTTTCTATTCCATATATTTCATTTTCCAGATTCTACCATTCTGAATTCGTCAAGTTATTATTTTTTAACCAGTTTAATAATTGCTACTCTACTTATAATGGATAGGGAGTCTTTTATTATGATTTATTGTGTTTTTCCAAGTAATAGTATACTGTAAGTGGGTTCTTATTTAGAAAAATACCAAAAATAATTGACATTTCTCCCTTTATAGCTAATACCCAGAAGCCACTTAAATAGAAAAAACTAAAATATATGAATATGGTTCTTGAAGTGACAAAGTGGATTATTTAGAACTATGCAAAAATCCACCCATCTCTTTCTCCCAGGCTAGCAGCAGATCGACCTGCTGTTTCCATGCTGGTGGAGGGAGGGTGTTGTAGCCTACTACCCCACAGCTGACAGCAGATACACACTAATGGCCGTCGTGCGTCGAGGTACGGGTGCATGATGTGTGATCTGGCGACACGGACTACCTGTTGAGTGGATGCACGGTGTCTCTCTCTGGATTATTATATAAAACACAAACGTAGCGCGCATAGCAGAAGCTCCAGCCCTGAAAGAGTTAAACGCTGTTTTCTCCCCGCTGGCAGGAGGTGAGTTGCGGCGCAGAGAGCCCGTGGACGCGCACCAAAACCCGGACAACTTCCACCACAAAACAACAGCCATGTCGGAGCTGAAGATGGGGACCTCTGGATTTCTTACTCCTACTCAGCTGTGAGGGGGCTTGGTTTTCCTTTTTTTTAGTTGCGTATTGGATATCGCCTCCATGGACGGCTTTTACGAGATGGAGAACCCGACGGAGAACCCCAGCAAGGCGGTGGAGTATCTACAGGAGCTGAATAAAATCATCGAGACGCAGCAGGGGCTTTTGGAGAAGCAGAGGGTCCGGATTGACGAGCTGGAGCTCCATATGACGGATCTGTGTAAGGAGAACGTGAGTCTGAAGGAGCAGCACCAGAGGCACCTGGCCACCTGCAGAATACAGCCGGGGAACAACTCCTCCAGCCTGGGTGCCATCAAGGAGAATGCCACCATGCAGGAAAAGTAAGTTGTTATTGGGCATTTCATCCTACATTCCCAGATCTGTGTGTGTGTGCCATCTGCGTCAGGTGGAGGTGGAACAACCCAATCAAACGCGCACTTCTTTGCCACTTTGTCACGGATGCGTTTTTTAATCATCCATGTCATTTCCACATTGTCAGGGATTATATTTCACTCTCACACACACACACGCTGCGCACGCTTGACACGCGTATTGCGTAATGTGGATCCCTTTAGGAGCTCTGTACCGGAATGATGTTCTGGTTTCAGACCATGATTAAAAGTGGGTGGGACTTTGTTTTGAATAAAGAGGAAATGGTGTGTAAGAAAACAAGGTTATTTGGTGATGTTTGTTGCTGAGGCGACAGGTAAACTAGATCTCTGGAGACTGTGCCATGCAGGGTTGTGATATGCAGTCAGTGTGTATTTTACAGCAGCTATATGATTTCCCCTAAAGCATCCTTTTAATTTGATATAACATGGTTGCTTTGGAGAGTTTCCCACTTGCCTTCAGACCTGCCAAATTATACATGCATGGTTAATTGTTTGAATACATAAACATGTTTTTCCCAATGGATCACTGTCCTATGAGTCCATATTTGTATTAATATGTAACTGAAATGTCTAGGAGATTAGGGCTCGAAATGGATGAATATTGGGATTCATACCACATATACTGTAGTGCCTCACAGATTGATTTAAACAAAACTGATAAAACAAATGGTGATCGACTCGCTCTCTGAGGTAGACTTATAGTCTCATGATTTATTTGTGATTTAAACGTGATTATAAAGAGGTGACTTGATTTTGCTCAGCTTTTTAATTTGATATGACATGGTTTCTTTGGAGAGTTTCCCACTTAGACCTGTTTCAGGAATGCCAGATTATACATGCATGGTTTAGTGTTTGAATAGATAAAACCGGCTCGAGATACACTTTTTGTTATATTCCATGGAATGCTCTTAACATCCCGATAGCAATGAAAATCTGAAGTGCTTTGACAAAAAATCCTTTAAAAAATGTCATCTGTGGAAGCCGTAGTACTGTGAAAAGCACGACCAATCATCTGAGCCGGCCCGGCTAAAATAACTGGATGGCTTACCTGCCTGTCAGCCTTCCATCTGTGCACAAACTTATCTCGTGCCCTCATTGGTCATGTGCGCGTTCGTGTGTGTTGGAGGAGGGGCTCTGTAAGGAAGTGGCAGATTTTTTCCGGCTGTGTATTTTCAAATTCTAGCGATCTCGAGCCGGTTTCTCCAAAATGACCTACCCCACCTTTAAAGGTAGGGTAGGTAAATTTGAGAAACCGGCTCGAGATCGCACACGAACGCGCACATGACCAATGAGGGCACGAGATAAGTTTGTGCACAGATGGAAGGCTGACAGGCAGGTAGGCCATCCAGTTATTTTAGCCGGGCCGGCTAAAATGATTGGTCGTGCTTTTTACAGTACTACGGCTTCCACAGATGACATTTTTTTAGGGATTTTTTGTCAAAGCACTTCAGATATTCATTGCTATCGGGATGTTAAGAGCATTCCATGGAATATAACAAAAAGTGTATCTCGAGCCGGTTTCTCAAACTTACCTACCCTACCTTTAACTGAAATGTCCAGGAGATACGGGCTAGAAAATTGATGAATATTAGGATTCATACACCAGAACCAAAGTCTTCAAATTGCTTACTTTGTCGACCAACAGAACAAAAAGTATATAGTTTACAAGAAAGAAGCAGAGGCTGTTTGATAAACTACGTAAACCATACATTTATTCTCAGAATGGTTGGCAAATCAACTGCAGCACAAAATGTATTGTAATACTCAATATGAATAACCTCAGTTTGCTGGTAGGCAAAAGCAACATGCTAACAATGCTACAGTGCTAGCAAAGCAGCGTGGTGAGCAATAATGCCTCTTAGATCGATTAAATTTAAAAAACGGATCAACTAAAGGGTGATCGACCCGCTCTCTGAGGAAGACTTCAGTCTCTGGATTTTTCTCATGTTTTAAAGCTGTGACTTAATTTTCCTCGGCTTTTTAATTTGATGAAATGCTTTCCTCTGGAGAGTTTCCCACTTAGACCTGTTTCAGAAATGCTCAATTAAACATGTGTGGTTCATTGTTTAAATAAATAAGTATCCATGCATGCTGATGTTTTTTTCAGCAATGAATTGGAGTTATGTTTTAACCAAAGCTTTTAACCCTAAAGAGTGGATGTGGTATTGTGTAATGTTTTATTCTAAAAGCCATGTTGCAGTTCCTTCTGACATTTTCTGACATGCAGCTTTAATCCCAATCTATGTTTTTCCTCTATTACATTTCTAGTTTCCATCCAGGGCGTATAAAGCTTATCTGGGTCCTGCAGATTATCTCCGGACACACTGGGTCACATGACCAACCAGGAGATTTGTTATGGGAGGAATGTGGAGAACTCACTGGATTTGATATTCACATTATAGGCTGTGAATAAAATGACTTAAGGTGGCCACAAGCTAACACGACACATGATTTATGAATGGGTCTTTTCTATTTCTGTCAACAATGTCATCTACACTACTGCCTCAATACAATCAGTGTTGGTTTAAAATATAAAACTAAAGAAATATAGACAGTTAGTCTTTTTAGTCCGTTGTGTTTACCAACCGGTTCTCACTTTCGGTTTACTGAGGAGATCTTCCATTATCCCTTTGAGTTTGTATTTTAACATTGAACTGTTTTACAAACATGTGACTGACTTGTCCAGGAGATAAAGGCTAGAACATTTTGGGGGTTTCTTATACCAGAAAAATACTATAATCTGCTACTCCTCACACATCTATGTGTACACCATACTACACTAAAGTTGTATTTGTTTGGTGTCCAGATGATCTTTTCCGTTTCGTTATCCCTGACGTCAGCCTGGAAACGGTTTATAACTCAAATATCATGGCTGTTTTCTTCGTATTCAGTAAATTAAATATATTATAGTACATACAATAAGGATTGGCAATCTCTCTAATCTATTTTCATATTGTCCATTTGTGGAGATCGCAGATAGGGGAACTTCTGTGCTTTCTGCAAGCAATACCGTTTAAATAAGTTGACGTGTAAAACTTTTGAAAGAGTGTGAACATTTTAACTTTAAAATGTTATAATCTGGCTTCGTTTTATAAGTGCCTCCTAAAGTATCACTTCTTTCAAACCCTACACCTTCACTTTATAATACAGAGCTTCTGTTAAAGTCTGAAGCCAAAGCCAGTATCCACAGAGTTGAATTCTCATGATGAACAAACTGAACTTTGTGCAATCAGAAGAGTGCCACCTTAGAAATGTAAAGTACTTCATCACATTGCTGTCAAAAGCCCACATTACTTTAGCCTGCGTATTGATTTACAAGATTGCCTGCTTTTGTACAGATAATTAGAGATATTAGAGGGATTAATCAAATGACGAATCTCTTCTAAGCGTATATCTAATGCCTGTGCCATAGTTCCATTACATTACATGTTACTTGTTAGACGCTTTTATCCAAAGCGACTTACATACTCAATACTGAGGGCAATCCCCACAGGAGCAATTTGGGGTGAAGTGTCTCAGGGACACAACGACATGCTGACTGCAGTGGGGTTTGAACCTGTGATCCGAACACCAACGCATAACCCACTGCGCCACACACCTCCCACAAAGTTCCCTTCACTTCCTCATCCTTCTCCTGCCTCACTGAGCATTGCTGGCAGTGGAACATTTAGCTCTGCAGTCCAACAGATACTTAGAGGATGTTTGGATATGATATATAAGATTAATCACAACTTTAAAACCCTTGAACGCACTGTGTATCCTTGTATGTTCGGGTTGGTCCACATTTAGACTAAACCATTGCCATATCGTTATTTATAAGGCTGTTTCTGGTGTTCTTCCACTCCTATCTACAGATTTATATCCTTCAGAAAGGTACAGGAACTCATTATCTCCCAAATGGCATGACGTTCTGCTGCTCCATTTGCTTGGAACCAGTTGCAATAGAGTAATGAGTCCTGAAACCCATGTATGAGTCAGCATTTTACCATTGCCAGTTCCCTCGTCTCGAAGTCAATGGTTTAATGTAACGTGTTTCTGGTTGATATCCTCAAATAAGGTCTGTGGTACAAAACAAGCTTACGAGATGTTCACGTTTTGTTCTAGGACATAAAATACGTCAGTAAATACAACACTGGTGAATGTCTGAAGCTTCTTTAGGACATTCAAATGACGGTTGCTAACAAGTGACAAAATAAACGAAATAAACGTCATCACACTGACATGTGACCGTGATGTAGCTCTCCTTTAGCCTATTGTTAGCTTTTTTTAAAAATTCTGTTGAGTTTATTTACGGTTCAAAAATCACAAAAGTGAAGTGTACACGTGTGGAGATTATCCTGCTGAACAAAACGTGCAAGTGTCATAAAGCTTTCAGTGGCGAGCCGTCAGGGCCCCTCTAGGCCCTCTGTGAGGGCCTAAGATATTCTAAAAAATAATATTTAAAAACATTTAAAAAATATATATATTTTTTAAATATATATTTTTTTAATATTATTTTTGTTATATTTTTCATTAGTTTTACCGAAAAAAAACTTGATTTAATTGTATTTAAAATAACATTTCCAAAGAAATAAATCCTTCGAATCTGCCTGTTCAGTCTCTGTTTGAATGTGAAGGGTTACATGAAAGAAGCTCACCTGGCCCTCTCTGCGATTCACAGAGGGCCCGCTATAGTAACTGAACGAGAGAGTATGTCAAATGACAGTACAATTGACCAATCAATATCTTCCCTCTAAATGGGCGGGTTTTATTATCGCGGACTTTATGACAAGTTCCGCCCGCTGTGAAACTTTTCTTGTTTTCCATAGCAACAACAACTTCCTGTCAACAGCGTGAACTCGCCTTCAAAATAAAAGCATGCCAAATTACACTTAAGACATACCAACTGCATAGCATTTTCAATGTCAAAGAACACAAATTGGGTTCACAGGTGTTGTTTTGTGTGGTAG